ATTGCCCAATCTTCCTTCCAAGGAGTGGCTGGTGGCTTTGAACCGCCAGCCTTCTGGTTAGCAGTCAAAATGCCTTAGGCACTACGCCACCAGAGTATAGTATAAAATATGATTCTTTAAAGAGGTATTTATAGTCATTCGTTTATCAATGCAGCAAGCCCTGGACTAGTCGCTGGAGATCCTGTATTTTAAAAACATGACATGATCCGTATCTCCACGTGGCTTTCACAGACCACCACGGCTGCTGTCGTTTCTTAAAGATTTTGGCTAAGTTTTGGGGGAGGGGGACCACCGGGAAGGAGAGGTAGGGTTGAAAGGGGCCAAGAATATACCGCTACTGCGGAGGTCAAGAGAGGCTGCCAAAAGCCAAAGGCGTTAGAGTCTCCCCGCCCCACGAGGGGCGGAGGCTGGAAGGATCCGCGCCTGTACCGAGGCAGGCAAAAGAGCTGGGAGCCTGCCAGAGATGGACTGGGGGCGGAGCGAAGGACCGGAACTGGGCGGAGGAGCTGTGGGAGTGGAGGGTCGGGCCTAGGCTTGCACCAGTCGCCACCAGAGCCCCGCGTGTCACCTGCGGCTTCTCCTAAGCCCCACTTTATGGAGGCGGTAGGCTGACGGGAGGCCGGGGTGGGATGCGGCTGACGCGAAAGCGCCTCTGCTCCTTTCTAATCGCTCTGTACTGCCTCTTCTCCCTCTACGCTGCCTACCACGTCTTTCTCGGGCGCCGCCACCGGGCGCCGGCCGCGTCCCCGCGGGGCCTCAGGAAGGGGGCGGTCCCGGCGCGGGAGAGGCGCGGCCGAGGTAGGGCTGGGCCTTGGCCCTGTGCAGCGTGAGCGTCTGATCAGTGGGCTGCGGGGCGGGGGGCAGGTCGGAGTCTGTCTGTGTGGCACGGGCCTGGCTCGTGGACCGGGATTGTCCTTGGGCACCTGTATTGATTTTTCTCCTCCAGTTCTCGTGAACTAGGCTTGAGCTCAGAATTGGAGAGTAAGCGTTTTACTTGTCCTATTTCGAATCTCATATGCCATCCAGTCTCTGCAACCCTGTGACTGACGGGCGCGCACACCTTCAAAACAGGTATTGAGTGTTCAAGACTTTGTCCAAACTGCTCGATTGATTCGCAGAAACGCTATGGAAGGCTGCAAATCGCCCCTGAGTTTAAGACATCTATTTCCATTTTGGAACAAGAACCTTCTCAAAGCATGCGTTCAGGTTAGAAGGCCAGGTGGCTTTCCTTCCAGGTTCGAGCCCCTTGAGCTGTATTTTAACCGTGTCAGGATCCAACTCATCTTTTATCAATCCTTCTTTCAGAATTTTATACAATTTTGTCTAAAACTGGTGGACACTTCACATTCTAAAATCAGGTTTTTCTGTGTAGGTTATGTTATGTATGTACAATGGAGTCCTTGGGTGGTGCAAATAGTTAAGGAGCTTGGCTACTAAATGAAAGAAGTTCGAGGTTCAAATCCATCAACAGTACCATGGAAGAAAGTCCTGGCAATCTACTTCCAAAAACCAGCCATTGAAAACCTGATAATGCAGAGTTCTATTCCAATACATATGGGGTTGCAATAAGTCACAGTCAGTTTGATGGCAACTGGCTGGGTCTGTGTTTTTAATGTATAAAGGGAATGGAAGAAATAATGAGGTAAAAGAGCTGAACAGGAAATTTCAAGGGGGCAGCTTGAAAAAGACAAAGTAAAGTGTTATAATGAAAAGTGCAAAGACCTGGAATTAGACAATCAAAGTGGAAGAATATGCTCAGCATTTCTCAAGCTGAGAGAACTGAAGAAGGATTCTATGTGCAAAATATGGAACAATGCAGGAAGCATCAAAAGAAGATGGAAGAAATACACATTAGTCACAATACCAAAAAGAATTATTGGTCAATGTTCAGCCATTTCAGGGGGTAGCATATGATCAAGAATCTGTGGTATTAAAAGAAGTCCAGGCTGCGCTGAAGGAATTGGCAAAAAATAAGGCTTTAGGAATTGATGGAGTACCTATTGAAATGTGTCAACAAATGGATGCAGTATTGGAGGCATTCATTCATTTATGCCACAAAATTTATGCCAAAGACAGCTACTTGGCCAACTGACTAGAAGAGATCCATATTTGTTCCCATTCCAAACAAAGATGATCCAACAAAATATGGAAATTATTGAACAATATCATTAATATCATACACAAGTAAACTTTGCTAAAGATAATTCAAAAACGGTTGCAGCAGTACACTGACAGGGAACTGCCAGAAATTCAAGCCAGATGCAGAAGAGGACATGGAATGAGGGACATCATTGCTGATGTCTGATGAATCTTGGCTGAAAGCAAAGAATACCAGAAAGAAGTTTACCTGTGCCTTACTGACTATGCAAAGGCGTTCAGCTGTGTAGATCATAACAAATTATGGATAGCTTGTGATGAATGGGAATTCCAGAATACTTAATTGTGTTCATGAGGAACCTATACGTAGACCAAGAAGCAGTTGTTCAAATAAAAAAAGGGAATACTGCATAGTTTAAAATCAGGAAAGATTTAAGTCATGTTTGTATCCATTCACCAACTTATTCATTGTGTATACTGAGCAGATAATCCAAGGAACTGGCATATGTGAAGAATGTGGCATCAGGATTGGAGGAATACTTACTAACATCTGGGATAAGCATGCAACCTTGATAAGATGCAGCCTTCCTTGTTGAAAGTGAAGAAGACCTGAAGTAGTTCTTGATGGAGCTCAAAGCCTAAACACTTCACTGTGGATTACACCTCAACATAAAATCCTAACAACAGGACCAATAAGCAACATCATAATAAATGGAGAAAAGATTGAAGTTGTTAAGAATTTCATTTTACTGAGATCTACAGTCACACTCATGGAAGCAGCAATCAGGAAATCAGACATGCTGCATTGGGCAAATCTGCTGCAAAAGACCCCTATGAAGTGTTTAAGAGCAAAGATGTCACTTCAAAGGTTAAGGTGCACCTGACCCAAGCCGTGGTATTTTCAGTAGCCTTGTATGCCTCACTCATATGCTTTGAATGTATTGGTAAAATATTGAATATGCTAGGGACTGCTAGAAGAACAAACAAATCTGTGTTGGAGGAGGTAGAGCTGGAATGCTCCTTGGAAGTGAGAATGGCCAGGCTTTGTCTCTCATTCTTTGGTCATGTCAGAAGGGACCAGTCCCTGTAGGATAGCATGCTTGGGAAAGTAGAGGGTCAGTGAAAAAGGGGAAGAGCCTCAACAAGATGGATTGACACAGTGGCTACAACAGTGGGCTCAAGCATGATGATTGAGAGGACGGTGCAGAACTGGGTAGGTTTTCATTCTGTTGTACAGAGATTCGCTGAGAGAACCGATCTGATGGTTCTTAATAACAAACGTGTAAGTTGATATATATTGCTCAGCTGTTTTAAAAGGCTTTACCTTGGAGAATATCATTGTCTTTGTTACCTTTTTATTTGTAAGATCTTTCAGAGTAAAGGTAAGTTATGATTTCCTTTTTTAAAAAATGTATATTTAACCAATTCAAATTCAGTTGCTTTATCACTTTGAAAAATTGAGGTAAGAATGATATTAGAATTCCCTAACATCTAGTTTAAATGACTTAACTACAGCTATACTTTACTGAGCCCCTTGATGGTGTAGATAGTTGAGTGCTTCACTGCTAACTGAAGTGTTGGTGGTTTGAACCCACCCAGAAACACCTCAGAAGAAAGGCCTGGTAGTGTGCTTCTGAAAGGAGCCCATGTACTCTTGCCACTCATGAGGTTGCCAAGAGTCAGAACTGACTTGAAGCAGCTGAGGTTTTTTTGTTGTTTTGCTTGTTTTACCTTACTGATAAACACTTTTACTCTTTTTAAAACAGAACAATCTGCTTTGGAAAGTGAAGAATGGAATCCGTGGGAAGGAGATGAAAAAAATGAGCAACAACACAGACTTAAAACTAGCCTTCAAATATTAAATAAATCCACAAAAGGAAAAACAGACCTTAGTGTACAGATCTGGGGCAAAGCTGCCATTGGTAAGTTAATGTGTAGAGTTAGTAAAAGGCACCATGACACACACTTTATTGACATTAAATCAAATTCATTTTAATAGTTCATCATTTATTAAGACAGGATGCATTTTTTTGAGGTTTTGTCAATCTCTTTTTTGCACAAACACATATAGTCCATTATTGGCTTTCACATACAAAATAAACAGCATTTTTTTTTACGGTAGGACTATCTCAGAACTTTTAATATGCAGTGTTTATTGTGTGTATCCAAAATGAGGATGTAGTATGTACCGTATTAAACTTCAAGGAGCTCTGGTGGTGCTGTGGTTAAAGCATTCAGTAGCTAACCAGAAGGTCCACAGGAGAAAGATGAGGCAGTCTGCTTATGTAAAGATTTACAGCTTTGGAAATCTTATAAGGCAGTTCTCTGTCCTGTAGGGTTGCTATGAGTCAGAATCAACTGGATGACAATAGGCTTTTGGGTTTGTTTAAACTTGATTGCCCACAGAAGCATTTTATTCCAACTCTTACTATGGTAGAGTAGAAAATGGCATGCTCAGTGAGGGCCAGAAGAGTTAGAAAGGATTTAGTGAATTATTGTTATTAGGTGCTATTGAGTCAGTTCCGATTCACAGTGAAGCTGTGTACTACAGAACGAAACACTGCCCAGTTCTACGCCATCAGTTGCCAGCCCAGTTAAAAGGCATCAGTTCTTCTTTAGTCATCTTTATTCATTATCCAGCTTTTATATGCATATGAACCAGTTAAAAATACCATGGCTTGGGTCAGGTGCACCTTAGTCCTCAGTGAGACATCTTTGGTCTTTAACATAAAAAGAGGTCTTTTGCAGCAATTTTACCCGGTGCAATACATCGCTTGATTTCTTGACTGCTGCGTGTTGATCGTGGATCCAAGTAAAATGAAATCCTTAACACTTCAGTCTTCTCTCCCTTCATCATGATGTTACTTCTTGGTCCAGTTATGAGGATTTTGTTTTCTTCATGTTGATATGTAATCCATACAGAAGGCTTCAAGTCCTCTTTGCTTTCAGCAAGCAAAGTTTGTCATCTGCATAAGCACAGGTTTATAAGTCTTCCTTCAATCCTGATGCCACATTCTTCTTCCAATAGTCAAGCTTCTTAGATTATTTGCTCACGATACATATTTAATACATATAGTAGAAGGATACAAACCTGACACACCCATTTCCTGATTTTAAAGCATGCATTATCCCCTTTTCTATTTGAATGGCTGTCTCTTAATCTATGTACAGGTTCCTTACGAGCACAATTAAGTGCTGTGGAATTCCCATTCTTTGCAGTGTTATCCATAATTTGTCATGATCCACGTATAGTTAATAGAACACAAGTAAACATCTTTCTGGTATTATTTGCTTTTAGCCAAGATCCATCTGACATTAGCAGTGATGTCCCTCATTCCATGTCCTCTTCTGCATCTAGCTTGAATTTCTGGCAACTCCCTGTCGATGTACTGCTGCGACCATTTTTTAATTATCTTCAGCAAAATTTAACTTGCATACAATGTTCAATAATTTCTGCATTTTGTTAGGTCACCTTTCTTTGGAATGGGAATAAATACGGATCTCTTTCCACTGGCTGAAAAGGTAGCTGTTTTCCAGATTTCTTGGCATATACCAATGAACACTTCTGGCATTATATCCATTTGTTGAAATATCTGATTAGTATTCCATGAATTCCTGTAGCCTTATTTTTCACCACTGCCTTCAATGCAGCTTGCACTTCTTCCTTCAATACCATCAGTTCTTAATCTTATGCTACCTCCTTTAATGGTTGAACATCGACCAGTTCTTTTTAGCACAGTGACTGTATTCCTTCCATCTTCTTTTGATGCTTCCTGCATCATTCAGTATTTTCCCCCTGGAATCATTCAGTATTGCAACTCAAGACTTAACACTTTTTCCTCAGCTCTTTCAGCTTGAGAAATGCCAAGCATGTTCTTCCCTTTTGCTTTTGAACTAAATTATCTTCTTGAGCTGCCCTTGGGAAATCTTCTGCTAAGCTCTTTTACTTTATCATATCTTCCATTCCTTTTACCTATTTTGTGTTCAGGAGTAACTTTCAGAGTCTCTTCTGACATCATGTTGGTCTTTTCTTTCTTTCCTATATTTTTAGTGATTTTTTTTTTTTTTTTCCTTTCTTCATGTGTAATATCCTTGATGTTATTCCACAACTCTTCTGGTCTTTAGTCATTAGTGTTCAGTGTGTCAAATATGTTCTTGAGATGGTTTCAGCATTCAGGTGGGATATTGTCAAGACTGTACTTTGATTCTCGTGGACTTGTTTTAATTTTCTTCTGCTTCATCTTGAACTTGCATATGACCAATTGATGGTCTGTTCTGCATTCGGCCCCTGACCTTGTTCTGACTGATACTGAATTTCTCCTCCATGTCTTTCCACAGAAATAGTCAATTTGATTCCTGTGTATTCCATATGGCAAAGTCTATACATGTAGTTGCTGTTTATGTTGTTGAAGGTATTTGCAGTTAAGTCCTTGATCTTGCAAAACTCTGTCACAGACATTCCTTCTATCACCAAGGCCTTATCTTCCAATTACCTATCCTTTGTTTCCAACTTTTGTATTCCAATCACCAGTAATTTTCAGTGCATCTTGATTGTACATTTGATCAACTTCAGACTGCAGAGGTTGGTAAAAATCTTCAGTTTCTTCATCTTTGGCTTTAGTGGTTGATACTTAAATTTGAATAGTGGTCATTTTAACTGATCTTCCTTGTAGGCATATAGATATTATCCTGTCACTGACAGTATTATACATCAAGATTTTGGTGGTTATGTTTGTGTGTCAGCTTGACTGAGTGAGTGGCTGGGCAGCTGGTGGTAGTTATTCCCCATGATGAGATTGGCAATCAGCTCCATGGTGGGATCTACCACAAGCAGCTGAGTAGCTGCTTTGGGTATGTGATCTGCTTTCTGTATATAAGTAGCAGCTTTGAGAATGGTCTCTAATTATGGCACACTTGGACCCTACATGTAGATGTGTCATTGTTCAGCAGCCTGCCATGCTCTGCCGACCTTGGGACTTAAAATGGACTTAAGTTGATGGTCTGCTATGTGGTTTGGTAACATCGAGACTGTGCATTTTTACTCGTCAACCTTAGACTTCTCAGCCTCAGCAGCCAGCAGCTATCTGAGTGAAAAAATGCCTCTAGTTCCAACGGGCAGGAAGCAGGAGGCAGAGCTGGACCCCAAGGTTGAGGGGCTTTTACCCAAACCCTAGAGCCTTTGAACTTGGACTTAAAACCTCCAAACTGTAAGAGAATAAACTGTTAAGGCCATCCTATTTGTGGTATATTCTTGTCAGAGCGGCATTAGGTAACCAGAATAAGGATAGATCTTGAAATGTTCTTTTTAATGATGAATATGATGCCATTCCTTTTGAATTTTTCAGCCTTGAAAACGCGGTGGTAGACTATATTATTTGATTCAAAACGGCCAGTACCAATCCATTTCAGCTCACTACTGCCTAGAATATTGAAAACTTTTTTTTGAGAGCTTCCAGTTTTCTTAGATTCATACTTTATACATTCCATGTTCTGATTTTTAGTGGAAGTTGGCAACTGTTTCTTCTCATGTTGAGTCATACAACATTAAAAAATGAAGGTCCCAAAAGTTTTACTTCATCCACATTAATAAGATTAATTGTACTTTAAGGAGGCAGCTCTTCCCCAGTCATATTCTGAGTGCCTTCCAACCTGAGGCTCATCTTCCAGCACTGTATAAGATAGTGTTCAGCTGTGATTCATAAGGTTTGCACTGGTCGGGTTTTTAGATATAGATTGCCAGGTCCTTCTTTCTAGTCTGTCTTAGTCTGAATGTTCAGTTAAAACCTGTCCAGTGAGTTAAATGGGATTTTATTTGGGTTTGAATATGAGTTGGATTTATGTACAAAAAGTGATAAAGTACCAGATGAGGAGATGCAGCAAGATGGCGGACTAGGCAGAAAGACTGCACAGACCCTCTTCAACAAAGAAAAGGGAAACCAATTAACACAGACACAGAAGATAATCCTGGAT